AACATCCGGTTTTTCCTTGTCCACCATTGACTTGAGTTCCGCCATTTTGTTTAGTAGGCTGCTAGCATATGTGTAGCATACCTGTAAGTCTGTGGAGAACCTTTCCTTGCCACCCAGAGTGGTTTGTGGATCGTTTTGCTCCGAACTTTTATAATTTGAAAACCCTTAAGAAAGCACGTACTTTTACCGTTTCAGCGGCGCTCGTTTATTTCCACTTCTGTAGCTCGTCTCTTAATACGATCAGCTAGGATGAGATCCTCACGAACGTACATTCCGAATCCAATCAGTTTATGTGAGTTGCCTAGAATCAGGTTTCTTTCTTCAACCGTGGCAAATGCAGCCTTCAAGAGGCGGCTTTTCTGAGCACTTTTTGAGAATCCACCTTTTGTCCTATTCTCATAAGCTTACAGATGCAGACTCCTGAAACTGCTTCTGAAAATAGCTTGCTGATTAAGGACTTAATACGACTGAGGTCGTGCTGAAATCTAGCCTTTGGTTCCTTATCAGAAGATTCTCTTAACTTATGGTCAAAGATGTTTTTGATGTCATTAAACCGAAATATTTTGGACTATTATCTACTAAATAAAAGAACATAACAACTAACGACAGAATTGAATAGATAATTAGGACAATTATGGCGCGAATATAATTTATGAACGTATAAGATAACAGGTCTCGGATTTCGGCGCAAAATTCGTTTATCCATTTGGAGTTTCGGCATTATAGCTGATGTCATTCCGGGACGAAGACCATAAATCGAATTTCTAACCTTAATTGTCAACTGTAAATTATAATTATAACTGCTCACACAGGTTTATAACTCTCATTTGGTCCTGGGTAATAAGTGAACACTTTTAAGGTCAGTCTAGCGTCGCTCGACAATGATTATTTTTCGGCAGTTTTAAAATTGATGGAGAAAGACAAGTGAGATAGATTACAGTGTTCAAGTGGTTCAAATGGTTTTGAACGGAGTAAAACAAGCATTCGCTTAACAGGCTTCTATATCTAGTAGCCGTAGATCGCCGATGCCTGTAAGTAGAAACCTAGGTATATTTAATGACAAAAAGGTAAATATTGGTAGATTAAGGTGAAATAATGTCCTGAGTCCCTAAGAATATGTCAAGTTTCCTCTTGAAGGACTCCCAGGAAATCGCTCGGACTACCTCAACCTGCAGAAAATTCCGGAATTCGACTGCTCATACTTAATAAAAGGTGTGCTTATAGCCCGTTCTGCTATGATGTGTCTCTAGTTTTCAAGTGTTGTCCCTATGATTTATGTTGGGGTTGAGCATTAGTAGGTGTTTAGGATGCTAATGTGAAGATCACCTGTAAGGTGTCTATACACTAAGAGGCAAATATTCAGTTGAGACGCTTTTCACAATGTTTGCATTTGAGTCTCAGCTGACAAGGAACCACGAAATATGATGAATTCATATTATTCTTCATCAATATTTGTTCTGGCTTTACTTAAATTCATAAAGAGAACTGTGGCAAGCCCATTTGGCTACTGTATCATTTATCTAGTCATTGTAACTCAGACTCAATTCACTATGTTAATTTCGGTGTGTATGGTCGATTGTATGTCTGTACATTAACTCTTAAGCTATCTTCCTATTGGTTTCAATGTGTAGATAATCGATAATCTATCCACACCCGATTAACTCTCAAATATATATGGATTTTTAACAGACTCACTCACTCACTCTGTTTCATCGTGTACTTGCTCACCGTACGCTTGTGGATTATTATTATTCATTAACAATAAACTATCTCTATAACTGGTATTCAGGCTTTTCAATAATCTCGAGTAAATTCGCAATTCTACTAGGAGATTAAGCCTACCAAAAATACTCAGTTACAGGATATTATTATTTGGAGTCAGATATTGAGGACATTAGCCTCAACATTTTGGTGAACCGCTTTTAGAACACACACCATTTCTCTACAAATTCTGCTGCATACTCTCCAAGCGTATCTTAAAGAACTTCACATTGGAATTACTATTACAATTATTAACAATTCATTAACAGTCATAATAAATCCATCCATAACATTGTTCCTTTGGTATTATTGCTGTATATTCGCATATTTAAAACAAAAGTGACAGTTTTTCTTTTCGGTGAGTCTTATATATATTTCTTGTTGTTATTTTTGATTTCTCTTCATATTGTATAATACAATCCTCAGCTTATTATTACTATTGCTTCTTCGTATCATGGCACTTGATAATTCGCTAAGCCTTTCATCTAAATCTATTTCCGTGGGTGCCATCGCTGTACCTTTACCTGTTTTTAATCCACGAAAGTTCGAACTCTGGTTTGCACGCTTAGAAAGCTTTTTTGTTGCAAACAGAATCACAAATCAGAGCACGAAATTTAGTTACGCAAACTCATTGCTACCGGACGACGTTATTGAACAAGTGCCTGACATCGTTTTTAAGCCGGATCCCGACTCATCATACGATTGTCTAAAAAGAGAGGTCATTCGTGTCACATCTCTCACCGACCAACAGACAATTGATCAACTTTTAGCCAACGTGGAGCTAGGTGACAATACACCGTCACAGTTAAAACGCCACATGACAAACTTATTAGGAAATCGTACAGTAGACAAACGTCTACTATGTCGATTGTGGCTCAGACGTCTCCCTCAAAACATTCAACAGATGCTAGCAATTGGAGACGAAGACGTTGATTTTGATAGGCTAGCAGACATAGCCGACAAAATTTACGAACGGTCCAAGACTCACCTTGTATCTCAAATCCAATCAAGCTCAGCTGACGAGATCGCCGAGTTACGACGATCAGTTGATACCCTTACGAAACAGATAGCTCAGATCCAATTATTGAATGCCTCCCACAGCAAGCGTAGAGGAACATCCACAAGCCGTAGACGACGTAGTCCAAGCACTACTAGACACAACATTTGTTGGTACCACAGAACATATGGCAAACAAGCTAGAAAATGTACTCCGCCTTGTAACTTTGCAAGCACACAGAAAAAGGAACGTCAAGACCGTAGGTTAATGACGAGTGCACTCACTGACCACAACTTTCAAGACAGTCGTCTATTATATGTTACAGACAAAAGAACCGGCACACAGTTTTTAGTCGACACTGGGGCAGAGGTTAGTGTAGTACCACCTACTGCACTCGAGAAAAACACACCTGACCCCAAACTAAAACTACAAGCTGCAAACAGGTCTGACATCAAGACGTACGGCAAAAGGCGGTTGCAATTAAATTTCGGTCCTAAATCTAATTTTTCCTGGAGTTCCATCATAGCGGACGTCCTCGTTCCTATAATCGGCATTGATTTTCTGCAATTCCACAAAATACTGGTAGACGTCAGAAATAGGAAACTTGTCCTTGCCGAACAGAGTAAGGAAATTAGAGGAATTATATCAAATGAGACTTCCATACATTTATTAGTTAAACCTCATCACGAGGACGACAAATACGTCAATTTACTTAATCAGTTTCCAGATTTATTACGACCGAGTTTCAAACACGACAAACCGACGCATACCGTCGTACACCACATAAAGACTGAGGGTCCACCAGTGTTCGCACGTCCAAGACGCCTTGATCCCTCTCGTCTGGATATCGCAAAGAACGAATTCAACAAAATGATTGAGTTGGGCATCATACGCCCCTCCGATAGTCCGTGGGCATCACCGCTCCACATGGTACCTAAGAAAAACTCTTCCGAAGTTAGACCGTGCAGTGACTATAGAGCTCTCAACAGCCGGACCATACCAGATAGATATCCTCTCCCACATTTGAATGACTTCACTCATAGCCTATCTGACGTGTCGATTTTCTCAAAAATTGGTCTCGTCCGTGCTTACCATCACATTCCAATTCATCCGGACGATGTTCCTAAAACAGCCATTACTACCCCCTTTGGACTATACGAATTCGTCCGCATGCCTTTCGGATTAAGGAATGCTGCACAAAGTTTCCAGCGTTTTATTGACCAAGTGGTACGGGGCTTACCGTTTGTGTATGCTTACATAGATGACCTACTTATAGCAATCAAAGAGGAAAATGAACATCTAACTCATCTGAAAATGCTTTTTGAGAAGCTAAACGAGTATGGGTTAGCGGTCAATCCTGGCAAATGTGAGTTCGGAAAACAATCCCTCACCTTTTTAGGTCACGTACTTGATAAGCAAGGCATTAAACCAGTTCCTGAGGAAACACAAGCTATCAAAAATTATCCCTTGCCTGATTCATTCAAGAAACTACGACGTTTCCTTGGGATGATCAACTTTTACAGACGTTTTATCCCTAAATGTGCAGACTTAGCAAAACCACTAACTGATTTATTAAGGGGACGAGCTAAATCATTAGCAATGACACCGCAAGCAATTCAAGCATTTGATCAGTTGAAAAGCGCTTTAAGCACAGAGGCATTACTCGCACGACGAAAGGTTGATCCACCTTTAGCAATAATGACCGACGCTTCTAACGTAGCAGTAGGTGCTGTACTTCAGCAACGTGTCAATGAACAATGGCAACCCCTTGCATTTTTCTCAAAAAAGCTAAACGCAACGCAAACAAAATATAGCACATTCGGTAGAGAACTGTTGGCTATCTACTTAGCCATCAAACACTTTCGCTATATGTTAGAAGGCAATTCTTTCACGATATATACTGATCACAAACCTCTAACTAAGTCCTTGATGCACAATCATGATAGATACGGTCCGCGCGAAATTCGTCAACTAGAATTCATTTCACAATTTGCAGCTGATATACGCTATATTAAAGGCAATGCAAATGAGGCAGCAGATGCACTATCGAGATTAAATATCAATACCTTCTCGATCCCTGATATAGACTGTATTCGAATTGGGATTACCAATTGTAGCGTGGCGTCGAGTTGAGATTAACTATGAACACCGCTACCAAGAAACACGTGCCAATTAGATCAGAAGGCGTAATAAGCTCGTTAAAATGACTCCATAAAATCCCCGAGAAGCCAAATATCAGAAGGCAATTAATGGACCAAGTCGAGTTATATTTGCTGGCGATCTCGTGGCATCGAAAGGATACCGAGATCGTGCCAGGATACAAGCTTGGTTACAGAAGGTAACCGAATTCGCGCGAAGTTACAATCGAAGTGTAAGTATAAGAATGGAAGCACAAAATAGCTGTCATTAGCACAGTCAAACAAAAGCACGTTAAAACAAACACTGGTACAGTTGGTTATAATAATAATTGTTTTTATTAAACCAGTCGTGTTCTCGTGATAAATGTGAGTCACTACAAGACTATCAAGAAATGGCAAAGCATCAAAAGCTCGATACGGAGCTACAAAAGCTTTTGCAGTCTAAGGAAACGAAATTATTATTCCAAAACATCCCCATAAACAACAAGGACACCTTAGCTTGTGATACCTCAACAGGTAAAACTCGCCCTTTTGTACATTTCGGTATGAGACGAAATATTTTTGAGAAATTACACAATATATCTCATTCAGGTATAAAAGCCACTGTAAAGCTTGTCACAGATAGATTTGTATGGCCAAAAATAAACAAAGACGTAAGAAAATGGTCACGGGAATGCGTCCAATGCCAAAAGTCAAAAGTACATAGGCACATCATATCTCCTACAGGAATTTTTCCCGCCGCTAGCGCTAGGTTCGACCATATTCATATCGACATTGTTGGACCGTTACCAATTTCTAATGGTTACACGCATATACTAACATGTATAGATAGATTTACGAGATGGCCCATAGCTGTTCCGTTAAAAGACACGTCAGCATCAACAGTGGCGAAGAAGCTGGTGAAACACTGGATTACAAACTTCGGTGGCCCTACAACAATTACGACCGACCGTGGAACGCAATTCGAAAGCAAACTATTTCAGCAACTTACAGATACTTTCGGTATAAAGAGAATTAGAACCACTGCTTATCATCCGTCTGCTAATGGAATGATAGAAAGATTCCATAGACAGTTAAAAGCCTCTTTGACGGCCGCACGAGGAGATTACAAATGGGATATCAAGCTTCCTTTGATACTATTAGGCATTCGCTCAACCATCAAACAAGACCTCGGTTGTTGTGCTGCTGAGTTGGTTTATGGAACAACATTACGTTTGCCTGGTGAATTTTTTGACCGTGCAACAGATATTCCAGCAGATATAACCAACTACGTACAACAATTAGAACAGCAGATGGAATCCATTAGGTCCGTTAAACCACGAACCCAAAAGGTGGAATCATTCATACCCAACGAACTAGACAAATGCTCACATGTATTCGTCAGAAATGATAGAGTACGACAGCCGTTACAGACTCCTTACGACGGCCCTTTTAAAATCATCCGAAAGGACACTAAAACGGTTACAGTGGAAAGAGCAGGTAAACATGATACTGTTAGCATCGACAGAGTAAAACCAGCATTTTTAGAGAACACTGAAAAACAGACAACTGTAAAACCGTCTAAATCTGCAGCAGAGCAAGCACCATTCAAACTACCTGCAACAAGCAACACTTCAAATCAAAGTTCAGCAGCAGCACAAACTACAACAAGATCAGGAAGAAGAGTTAATTGGCCAGATAGGTATGTAGCAACCACTATATTTATCTAGACCAAACCCTGAGACTACTCTTATAACACATAAAAATCCTACTTTATTTTGATTACTATTTTTTTTATTGGCCCCACGGATCATCATTATGCCTACATTAATGTTAAATGTACACTTGTATAAACATGATATGAAACGTTTCAACACACAAGCTGTTATTACAATTTTGCGCTTATTCATCATATTGAGTTGTACTTTTATTTTAAAAACAGTTCCGTTCTTTATCTCTTTGTCGAACATAGATGTTAATCCAATTTTTTTTTGGTACATAAAAACATCAATGTTCTGGATGGGAGCTTATGTGGCAAGCCCATTTGGCTACTGTATCATTTATCTAGTCATTGTAACTCAGACTCAATTCACTATGTTAATTTCGGTGTGTATGGTCGATTGTATGTCTGTACATTAACTCTTAAGCTATCTTCCTATTGCTTTCAATGTGTAGATAACCGATAATCTATCCACACCCGATTAACTCTCAAATATATATGGATTTTTAACAGACTCACTCACTCACTCTGTTTCATCGTGTACTTGCTCACCGTACGCTTGTGGATTATTATTATTCATTAACAATAAACTATCTCTATAACTGGTATTCAGGCTTTTCAATAATCTCGAGTAAATTCGCAATTCTACTAGGAGATTAAGCCTACCAAAAATACTCAGTTACAGGATATTATTATTTGGAGTCAGATATTGAGGACATTAGCCTCAACAGAACTAATTGCATGAAATAATATTGTTATGCCATTGGTACGTAATCGACATTTAACATGGCATTATGGATTCATAGGTTGGATGATTGCTATTACATAGGAAATTCGTTTGTCTACGATAGGCAAGTTGTCTTTTTGGACAGTGAGTTTCTAATGCGGAAGAGTAACTTTTTTCTTTTTGCAGAACACTGTGAATGAAAACTCTACATCAAGCTGATTATCATGACCGAAACGCATTAGCAATCGTTATAATTGTAAGAATTTATTTATTAATGGATGGTTTATACTTTCCTTAAACTTTAATAAACATTTTCATTTATAACGCATCAGTCTTTTAATTACAGCAATTCTGATCTTTTGCGAAAGACCAGTTCTTGTAACGAACTATGGTCCACTTTGCGAAGTCAACTGAAAAAATGGAATAGATGAGTCGAAACTTCTGGGTACTTAGTATTAAATCGCCGAGCTTTTCTGTGCAATGGGTAAGTTTGGGGTTTTCCGAATGTGGTATTTATGATAATCGGAAATCGTGCAGAATATCCCCAAAATGCGATGAAGTATTGAGGTATGATCACAAAGCGTTGATGGGTTTTCGAGAAAGGTGTTGAAAATCCTGGGGTTTTATCAATAAATATATACATATTTTCCTAAAGTATTCTAAGAATATGGGAAAAATTTTGGAGGTTTTGTTCCATTTTCCCAGAAGTTTCCACAACGGCTCCCCCAAAACATACAACATTTCCTCAAAATACGGAGATCGGATACTTACAACAAACAACTTTAGTCCCAAACTAAGGCAGCTACCGTCAGTTATTGACAGTATTCTCATTTACTGTGACATGACCAAGGTAATGCCACGACCTTTAGTCTCCAAAACCATGAATGCGAGTTTTGTGAGCGAAGACACTGCCTCGACGCGGTGACCAGGAATGCAGTATTTACTTGCCTTGGTCAATTATTTACGATATTCATGGCTAATAGGACTTGTACGCAAACTAACTGGTTTCTTAGGTGACTTTAGGAGACATAGCTTCGCTATAACACGCATACCTACATCAAGTCATCAAAAGGTTAATTTATAAGATTCCGATTATGTCACCGACCATAAAAAGCCTATTCGATTCTCCTGCTCTTTGTAATCCCCTTTTTCTCCTTAACCATATACTTTACCTTTCCGGGTCGGAAAGTACTCTATGCTCCCGCAGCTGCGAAGTCGGTTATAGAAGGCGGCCAACTTAGAAACAAGATCATATATTTGATCGAGTTTGGTGATGAACCCGAATTCCGACAGATTCACACATTTACATATATTTAAAAAAAAGTGAAGCTTTTATCTTTTAAAACCTTTTCGTCAGCAAGATTCGTATACCGTGTCTATTTCTTTCCAGATTGCCAATCCATCTTGAAAACTAAACACTTATGTGAAACTAAACAGTTATCAATAATATTTACGTATTTCCTTGTTGCACCATACTATTTTGGAGCATTTCTCCAGATTTGACTGACTTTCACCATTGTTTTTGCAGTAGATTCTTCTTAATTTTTCCCACTTGAGGGCGACTCAAAAGACAGGTGAGCAAACACCTGATAGCTGGACAGAGCATGGAAAAATCGTACCTTAGCAACATGGTGTTGGGTAGCCCGCTCGCTGCACTTCCTCAGATATTCTTATCTCATTTTATCGCCCTCCCTTCTCTTGAAAGCATTAATCACCACATAGAGGGCACGTAGCAAATTACTAACAATAGTTGTTCAAGAAATCATATGCTATGAGATAAGATTATAAGCTAGAAAAGGATGAGATATCCATAGACTATCGTTGAATACTGACAGGGTTGATCGTTATTGATTGAAAGTCAGATGCTGAACGGGTTATCAATTCTCCATTGGGCTGCGGAAGCACAAGTGAGGTGTTCTTGATAGATGGGTTGATCAAACCGATGTCCCTAGGGAAGTCAATTCTAGGAGGAAGCTGATGTAACAACTCGGCTTGATTAGTTAAGAGTTGACGTCAAGCAACTAAGTATATGTCGAAACAATGGAGCTTAAGTATTCACCCACTTCCTCATTTTGTAAAGGCATTACATTTCCTATTATCTTATATTAAATGTCTAAAAGCTTTGTGTGTCTGTACAGGTAACCTCACGCTTCACTGTATGCTGTCTCACAAGCTAAATAAGGGCCTATTCAAACCCATGTTTCCAATTTTATGCTGGGTTCGCTATTTTACAAGGGCGACCTACAACATAATAACTTAGACTTTTACATTTTGATCTAGTGCCTGGAATCAGGTGAGAAAAAAACTATGAATGATATAGTTGTTGGTGTTTCCTAACAATTCACTCTCTTGGTGTACTTTCCTTGCAACGCTCGCTTTTAGAACGGAACGTTTAGTCCTGACGTGATCTGCATTTCTCAAACTTTTGCTGTGTTCTTACGCAACAAAAGAACCATTTCTGATTTATAGGATCTATTCCGAGCTATACGTTCGTCAGATTACTTTTTTTGAGTTTCACCTAATTTACTAGTTAACTATGGTCTTGCCTCAGCTTACTATTCGGTCTTTTTCAGTTTTTTACGCAAAAGCTTGTTTCAGATTATCCTAACCCGTTTTTATCTATTTCTGCCCGTTTTAGTGTATTTTGTAACAGTCTTAGGCTCTTGCTAGCATCTGTAATACAGTTTACGTCAATAAATTCATGAAAAATTCATGCAAACGACCTGGATGCCGTTTTGATGTTACATCTGGCATGCAGTGCGACAACTGAAAAAGTTGGTCCAATGAAGCGTGCACAGATCTCACAGAAACTGCTTATAGCAGACTCAGAAAGTTGGATCATAAGTGGATATGTGTCACGTGCAACATGGATGCTGTAGTTTTGCTGAGAAACATCATTGTCCTATTGTCAGGTCTGCGGAGTAAGTTGTCAGCAAACTTGGAAGACAGTCATAAAACAGGTAGAAAAACGAGGACGCGCAATGAAAATAAGGAGAGGAATGTTGACATGTCTACTATCGATGGAGCATGCACTATCATTAGTGATGACATGCTGAAACTCAGTACCATCAAAACGTTGACGGTAATAGACTCCCTCAGCAAACTTAGGTCTACCAGCACATGGTCCTTGAATGCAACAGTAGTTCCTAAAAACCCTGTAGGTGATTGGACCCACGTTAACAGAGCTATAAAGGACTAGGTGTCACCGTGTAAGCTGAACATCTCAAGTGTTGTACGGAAATCAACTGGTGACTTGGCCGCACAGTCTACTCCCAATAATGTCCTTCCGGTCATCAAAGAGCCCAGTAATCAGAAACGTGCTTTGACTTCCAAACAACAAGGTGCCGAACCTAAATGCACTGGTAAACCTGGAAAAACAATAACGGTTGGTAATGACTCTCTCATAATCATAAACCTCAAAGACAGCCCTGACCTTCCTCTCAGTTTGCAGGACAAAAATGACAGGATGCTCTGAGGAGAGTTAGACAAGAAGCTTGAACTTTCTAGAATAGAGCCTTTGACTGTCACATGGCTCACGGCTCATCCGGAGCTACTTCGTGTAACACTTAAGAATGTTACCGACGTAGAGGACTTCCTGCTAGCTAGTCATTGACTGAAATCCGATGGGAACGTGAGAATACTGCTTGACATACCGTATTCTGGGCGCGATATCATTCGGAACATCCCTTAAGAATTTCGCGGGAAGTTTTTCCGCGGAAGAAATATCATTGTGCAAGGTGTACCTGAAAACACGGACCCTAGTCAAACAAACTCTGATATTAGGGAATAGAAATTTACCAATCCCGGAGGCTCAAAAACATACTGACTCAACTTGTGACGAGACTAGTTAAAAGGGACGGAGATTCTAGACTCCCTCATCCTCCCATATGGTGGCTGCAACTCTGAAAGCATTTCGTGCCAACAGACGTCGGTTGCCAACTGGAATCCATATGGATCCGGGTAAGCCACGTGACGCCAGGATCAATCGCAAAGGCAAGCTGGAGCTGACCATTCTTTTGTGGAATGTCTTGATCATAAAAACCGTGCAAAGGACAGAGCCTTCCAACTCGGCAAACCTTATGCATGTAGGCTACCTGTCCATTCACATAAGGCTCATACAGATAAACAGGAAAAAGCTCACGCGTTTCAAATTGAAAGCATAAACTGCTTATACATAAACGCCGTGAGTCTGCCAAATGAAATAGATGAGCTACGTGAACTTGACAATGCCAATAATTCTCATCTGATAGGAATATCTGAAATTTGGGCATCTCAGTTCTCGGACCAGGAGCTAGTAATACCTAGGATGTCTTTGTTTCTCAATGACAGTAAAACAGGAATTGGGGGTGGAGTAGCCTCATACATACGATCATGTCTGGAGGTACA